GTTCTGTATTTGAAATTGACCTTTTTCCCTCGTGACGTAATGTTACTTTGAATTGCATCTAAATCATCGATTCACCAGATCCTTGGTGTTTCCAGGATTCATTCTCACTGTAAAACCCAAATTCTCTTTGATTCTAAAAATTGTCCTTTCTGTACTGTTGCCTGCAGCCTGTATTTCAGTGGTTTCACAAATTTGTTGACATTGTGGCCTACATTTTCTGTCATATTGCCTATTGTCCCCTTTGCACCAGAATATTGCTGGAAAGGAATGCTTTCCAAGGATGTTTTTCATCTCTCTGCCATTTGTTCTTGTAGTGTGTGCTCATTTTAAATGTAACTCTCTTCAAACATAGAAGTTTGTCCCAATTCAATGTGTTGGCACTGTCTAATAGCCGAAATGCCAGCACAGTGTGGAATTTTTGCAGTCTTGCATACAATCTACTGAACTCCCATTATGTACCTTCTGATGAACTATTTTAACTTTTTCTAAACTTGTCCAAATATGACCATGTCACAAAAGCAACCAGTACATGTTTTTGATAAATTTTATCCACAAAAGTTAACGATAACTGCTAATTGTCCTGTTTTTAATATGGTAGTGAAGGTGCCAGGACATAGCTCATCTTCTGTTTAGTAAAGAAGTAACCTAGGTCCATGGGATCACTTTATAGTTCCACAAGTCATAAGGTTCACATTCAGAAAACATGGATGGATAATCATACCCTGAAACTTTGCATTTTGAATCATCCTTTGCTACCAGTATGGTTCACTAAAAGTTGAATGCATTTATAGAGAGTCCAGGCGTACATTTTCCAATTAGTCTTTTTCAACCAATCACATGGCATAAAACACTCCTCCTGTGGCTGACTCTTCTTTTTTAGTTAATTGTGTTAAAATGTATGTAGTTATTTCACAACATCCTTTTGGTTGTCACCTTTAACATCCTAATAACTGAATTAGATATTAACATCAGCAAGGACGTTGTTTCCTATTAAGCTTGCATGCTGTCTATATATTTTTTAAGCAGTTACAGGGCCAGCCATTCAGGTCAACACAAATGTGTCTGAAGTGTTGTGCAGCATGTGAAGGGATACTGTAGGACCAGGACTGTACAAAGACCAGTGCATGGATCCCAGGGCAGTTAGGTCTCCAATCCTGGGAACCAATATGTGCAGTTAAGAGTTGGTGATGGGGCTGAGGAAAAGCCCTGGGAGCTGTCTGGAGAACTG